ACGGTTTTTTGCCAATAACGTTAAATTCAGCACCTTGGCTTTTTCCCCCAAAACACAAAGTGGTTTAATAGTGGTTTCAGATTCTTATTGTACGATTAGTAGGATTATTTTAATTCAAACAGTCTTTTTCTTGTTTTGTATCTTGTTGTTGCTGCTTTTCTGTTCCATGTTAAACATTATAAGGTTTTCCCATTTGAATTCTGTTGAATTCTACAACAGTGAGGACTTGTATCGCAACACAGATTGCAAGTGAAATCGCAGTGCAAACTAATTGGCGGTGTTATATGCATCTTAAACAAAATGTTGTCTTAATCATGTTTAAGTTTATGCGCAGTTCAGGTTTTAAGAGCTGCTTCTTTATGTCCTATATTGGATTGCAAATTAATGACATGTTAAGGCTAAGAACGTGATCGAAGTTCAGCGAAGAAAAGTAACGTTACTAGATAAATGTCATTGTCTTTCAGCAAACACAAGTTATAATTGTGGCCACTAGGTGTCACGGTAAGCACTTTATATTTTCATCACCGACAGGCCCGCTTTTTAAAAAAAATCGCACAAATAAGTTAATAAAAATGCAATTGCATTTACAATTCAACAATATAACTCCATATAGAGATTCTCAAATCACGAAATGGAAATGGATATAAAAACAGGTTCGTTTTATCTATTAGGGCTATATTGACCAATAGGGGTGGATTTTATGATGCAGTGGTTGTTTTGTAATGTTGCATATGACAAGGCCATTCTCTCGACACCTAATAGCTTGCCATTTTCTTTATAATGATAAATTAGCAACTTAGATGCAAAGAAGATGGGGAAAGAGCAATGAACCCAGAATTCTGAACACTTTATTGCAAGTATGTGAACATACCGGAATTGTTTGTGGTTCGGTGCAAACAGTTAATATAACGAAGGCAGTTAACTGGACACAGTGCAAACAGGAAGGAAGGGCAATGCATCATGGTTTCAACAGGCCGTAAGCAAATGGATTATTGTAGGCTTCGTGTATTTAAAAAATGGTTCAGCAAGAACACAGACAAGAATTTTAGACTGAAAACAAATGTGAGAGGTGTCAATAGAAAAGGAAAGTTGGGAAGAGTTCATCCGATAATAATGAAATTTGGGATGCAAAATCGATCTGTCACTGTATACACCAGCATAAGCGTGAACCGTATTTATCCTACCCACAGTGAAGCGGAACACGCCGGAGGGGAAATAAGATCTGATTGGCACAGACGAGGAGAAGATTACAGGTAACCCCATGACTCTCGAAGAAGAGGAGTGTGTGTGTGTGTGTGTGTGTGTGTGTGTGTGTGTCGGCGCTTGTGAGTGAGACGAGGCTGGAATTGCCACGCTGGAGATAGAAGAATCTCATAAATGGGTGGGAAGGGAGAGGAAAGAATAGAAAACATCATTTAGAAGTGATTCATTTCAGATGGGGAGATTGCTGATTGCATTGCAGGGGGAATATAAAGCAGAAGACAAGAATCAAAAGTTTGAAAGTGTCTCTGTGAGTGTTTGTGTGCATGCTGTAAAAAGCCAAGCGTCATTTACTATGCATTTCAAAGGGTTCAGTCACAATAATATTGGCTGACCTTAGGTCGAACTTGTTATTATTTACTTTATTTGTCACCCCACACACATACACACACAAACACTATGGATTTATATAGAATTTTGCCAATTGTTTGTAGTTTTGATTATAAAAACCTTTTACCGTTGACAGCGCTTTGCCAGCAGACAAACGGGACAGTTGATAAGCCTCATTTCAGAAGCGTCTTTGGTCATTTGAACGCGACTGAATCGATGGATATGGATGAGAAGAACACAGGTTGGTGGATATTTAATCCCTGCATGACCGTATGGGATTGCACTGATATCCTGAGTGGCAGGTGTTTTCTTTTTAGCTGGTACCCTCTAAATTAACTAACAGAGAAAAAAAATAGTAGACAACTATTGTAATCATATGGCTTGGAGAAAAACAGATTTGCATTAACCATGAATTGATTTAGTGACGTTAGTCTATAAAGAAATGTCACCCTGGAAATTTGCACTTTATTAATCCCACCGTGATACCGCCTGATGACCGAGATAGTGGCTGTCAGATGAAGGTGTAAGCAGGTTTTCCGCTTTAATGGCCTGCCCTAATCATTCCAAATCACCCTTTTTGTACTATAATATAAACAGTTTTAACAACGTGAGGTAGCTTCTGAATGACCCGATCGATCTAGCTTGCTCTTCAATATAAACAATTAGGTTTGGTTTGTACGGTGTAGCGTCACCACCGATGTTGAAATGGAACCTACGCCCTTGACTTGTACTTCCAACAAACATGAATCGTTATTATTTAAAAATCTGTATACTATGATGTCTTGCTAATCTTCATATTTCTGATGTTAAGTTTAGAGAGGTTTAATCCTAAAATGACTGCGCGGTATATACTTCACACTCGTTATTTCTAACTATGTAGTCCGACAAAGTAGAAACGAAACAAACAGTGAAGTTAGCATCGCTGAACGTGAAACTGATCCATTACCAGCGCTGCTACCCTACACACGTCGCTATTTGTCTGATAACATTTACGTAGCAATAGACATAGTACCATGTGCCGTCATGAGCTATATTAACTTAATTGTTTTAAAGTAGTCTTGTTATATTTCTATTTTGTACACAATTAACTTTGACATTTCAGAACATCTGCCTGTTAAAGCGCAGTTTATATTTCGGTTATATATACTGCATACTATGTAATTTGTTAAAGCATAAAGCTGTAATGTTTGTACGATTATGATGCAGGGTATATATTTTAAGCAATCGTGGTTTAGAACTTTATGATGAGCTGTTTATTTTTCAGCGTATAGCAAGCTGACTTTAGAAAAACATACCCCAATGAATCATTACTCAATTGGGTCCTCCTCCGTCATTAATTACATTTGACAGTGACATCAGTAGGTTTGCGCCTTCTTCATAATTTTAACAGATATGAGCTTATGAGACAGCGGATTATCAAACCTTTATAATTCTTTGCTCTTCATTTTGCAAACTTTCTTTCTGATCATAGCACACGTTTGTGCAGCTGCGCTAACAGACCCGCACTAGATAATGAGCTTGGCCTGAATTTTAAATCTCGTTAACTTCAAGAGTTTCTGTGATGCCATTTCGGAGAACATTCGAGAACGTTTTGAGCATCCATGTTACCCTGAGCTAAACCCATTTGCAGGACTCTATCAGTTAACAAAATAATATTTCAGATAAAGTTATGCCAGAAAAACGGCATAATGAACTGCCGTAGCGCTTCCATTTGGATTTACTGTCATTTTTTAGTATTTTGCATTCATTTCAATTCGGCTGGTTGGACCTAATGATGATTCTCAAGGTCCTTATTATCGCCAGTTCATTTGTAAAATAAAGGTTTGGGCTTTGCACCAACATCCAATAGACAGAGAGACGCACAATCTCACACAATAATTCTATCTGTCTTCATTCATGCGCTGCCAAATGGCGCCATAATAGACTTTTGGTTTGTTGCGGGATGTGAAGAAAACCCTTTGAGAGAGAAATAAGAGAGAAAAATCAGCGCCACCTTTTATGCATATTTCTTTTGTGCGTGCGGGATTTAATTAGCAATTTGATCAATCGCTGTAATCAGTCTAATTCCTGAATTTGCAGCTGCAAGTTCAGGCGTAGATGAGTACAACTGACTATATAAGACAATAGCAGACCGTCGCAAGTAATTTAAGCCATATATCATGCTGCAACTTAATTTGATTGTTGTGTGAATAAAGACGATTGAACAAATTAAATGGGTAACCCATAGTTACTATCAAGTTAGTTTCTGTCGCCTGGAAGGTACGCTTATGGCTTCATAATTAGGCATCATGCATTCCCCCCCCCCCCCCCACCCAGCCACCAGGGGCGCCATGGTGGTGCACCTCTGGGATCAGCCCGATTTCCATGTGTGTGGAGTTTGCATGTTCTCCCCGTGTCGGTTTGGGGTTTCTTCTCGGTGGTCCGGTCTCCCCCCATATTCCAAAAACATGCCGAGGCTGACTGGAGTTGCCAAATTGCCCGTAGGTGCGCGTGTGTGAATGTACCCCCCGGGACTGGTTGGCGCCCCATCCTGGGTTGTTCCCTGCCTTGCCCCTGCGACCCTGAATGAGACAAGCAGTTACGGGAAATGGATGGATGAGTTTGCGCCATTTCTGTGGTTCCGTGCAAAAAGTATATGATTCCTAAGCACAAGGGGGTATATTTGGGTATGGTGCACACATGGCTATACCAGTATTGTGAGAGTACTGTACCTTTTGAGCTTAGGGTGGGTGGGTGTGGGGGGGAGGGGTTCGGTGCTGATTTGGTCCCTACCAATGTTGAAACCAAACTCTCGCCCTTGACTAAGCAGCTGGATACATTTATATAGCCTACTCCCATGACACGTATATTTTATATTTAAATAATAATAATAATAATAATAATAATAATAATAATAATAACAATATTAATACGTTTATCGCATGAGGTAGAATTTGATGTCATATACGTCTAGAAGTATTGCCTGATAAAAGTTAATTTTTAATGACTACTTTTTAATTTTTATTGTGTTTTTTTTTTATGATCTTCTGTACAATTCAGCCTGTTCCCCTACATAAAACTACGCACACCCATAAGTAGTAAAGCGGCGCAGCATTTTGTAACTAGTGTTAGTATATGTCACCTTCGGCGACAAGTTTAATAATCTGGCATGTATGAGGCACATATCAAAAATGTAGGCGCAAGGGCGTCGTTATGCATGCGAGAGACTCGTGAACGAGCGCGTAAAGCCACGCACGGACCCGCGTGCGGCTCAGAGCGGGGGGCCACTTCGCAATGTGACACAGCAGTTCGGCGACGCGCCTCGGTCGCTTTCGGGCGACGCCGGTGATTGGCTGGCGCCTTGATTGTATGCAAATCCGCGCCAGGAGCGCCGCTGATTGGCGAGGCTGCCGCTCAGTGGCGTCGGGGAAGCGAGCGGAGGTGCGACTCTGCGCAGACGGAGCTGTCCTTCGTTCTCCTGGTGCTGAAGTCCGGCGCTCGGCGAATCGGTCTTAATCGGCTGCGGATATAATCACCTCTACTATAACTTATTTTTGCTCTTGTGTGCGGAAATCATACTATTGTGGATTAAATCTGCGGCTACCGTTCCTAAATTTTGTTTCTTTCCAACTATTATTTTGTTTTATCCGACTTGAAATATATTTACTTGGATATCTGTGACCGGATTTGCAGGTAATTTACGCATTTTCTCATCACTCTGTATCTGTTTTGTGGGATAACGCGCAGGCAGTGTAAGTCAATGTGGATGAAAGTCCTGGAGCGCGCAAATAAAAAAAGCAGATTACTGGATCGAGGACCGTCCGTCACCCAAGGTCTGTAATAAAGTATAACAGCGATAGTTGTGATTAGGAGGATGCTTGTTAATTATTGTGGAGGAGTCTCATAAAAGCCGGAAAAAACTGGCATTTTGAATCCTTTCTCTGCCTGTCACTTGTGGTAGAAGTGAGTCGTTTCCAGTGTGGACGGATAGAAAGGTTTAGTTGCACCCCTTTGGAAAATGTTACGGAATATTTTTAAAGGGCACTGTATTCATTTTGCCAGGATCCCGGAGTTCAGAAAATGTCGAATACGAATGACATTTATCTGAGGTTCTGCCTTTATTTTACCTGCCTTTGTCACTTAGTGTTTTTTACTAACCCATAGGTGACTCAATTCCGTTCAAAGGGAGTCTGTTACTGTTTTCCACCTAGGTCATCTTTGCTTTCCTCTTACACAGCTGACATCTATCCGTCGTATTTATTGCATTTATTTCAGCAGCACAACGCGTCCTCATAATAACTGTGAAACTAGCACAGCTCCTTATAGTGTCCGCAGCTCGCGGTACGTTTGAAGTACTACTGGACTTCAAGCTTTATTTTTGCAAGCTGGTTTCGTCGCCACTTTAACAAGTTTTGCCCATGAATCGTATTATGTTACGTAGCCACAGGAGTCCGATACGGTCAGTGACTCCCTGTAGTCCATAAAAAGTTCAATAAGCGCAGGGAAGCGCTTCGCTGATTCCGGGACGCTCCTCCATCGCCGCAAAGTCTCTGACCTTTATTGCTTGTTTTTTTTAGGATATGCCAGCCACACTCCATAAAACACGAACAGCACACACGGATTATTCCGTGTCCCGTTCACTTGTATTGCACTTGCGTCTGTCGCTATAAGGCTCAATCAAAATAACGAAAAATGCAAAATTTTCAATATAAGAAACATATTAAATGATTACAAATGAGTCACTGGGGATCAGTCTGCCAGTTCCAGTTTAATTCAGTTTTACTACTTGCTGAATGAAAGGGCGCAGCCAGCAGCTACGAGGGACTGCGCACTGTAGTGACTGTTTTGCTGCTCTGAAATTCACGTTTTTGAAGCACTTCAGCTTACCGGTTTCCACACATTTTTATCAAAAGCTACTGTTTGGGTCCCGATAAACTGAACACGATATAAAGCAATTATTATCCCAAAGCGTGTCTTAAGCAAAGCTCAGTTAACTCTGACTTCCATGTCTTTTTCCTTCGGATTTTTACGGGCTTATTTTGAGATCTCACCTACATTAAACAGTGGTGGAAGGTGACCCACGTCCACCTGCTGTACCAGCATTCATAATTGCCAAGTATAATGCTTTGCTGGCAAATGTAGGGATAAATTATATGGTCAATACCAATTTACGTGTAATTAGGGGACAGAATGGGGTAGTTGGGTCTGAATTCCCCAGATTCTTAAAAAATTCGACTTGGTGAAGGAAATTGATTTCTCAATCTATTGCCATGTACTACTGATCTGTCTACACTTGCACACATAGACAGAAGTTCTCATCACTGAAATGTGCTGGATTGGACAGAGCACCATCTGTGATGAATATAATGAAAAGGTCAACACTTATAAAACCTGACAAAGTTATTTTTAAACGGTTAAAACGGTTTGCTGATTTGCAGCTATCCATTCCAGTATCATTCTCCTGTAGTATTTTTTGTTAAATTGTTCTGTCACAGCGTTCTGGTGATAATTCTCGGGAGATGAGACATAATTAGTCATCTGAATTAAAACAGGGTGAAATGAAATTATAATTTATACATAACTGATAAGAATGGCATCCATAGCTGAATTTGCAGACTTGGCTGTAGCGGTTTTAAGCATAACTTACGGTTTGTCTACTTCACAGAATTTATATACCTACCGTAGGTTCATTTTTTGGAAGATAGTAGTACTGGTAGTATTTTGATGTGTGTCATTCGCCTGATTTATGATGTCAGCGTGTCTCACTGAGGTGGGTTGTGTCGTTATCATGTGACCAATCATGAGTCATGAATGTGATAAATCAATGGCTTTGTGAACAGAGCTGCTTCTCTTAAACCCGGGCTCCCAGGTCACATGACTGTGATGTACTGTTCTTTGAAATAATGCTTGGAACCAGGTTTTGAACCAATTTCAAAAACATCATACAGCCAAGTACAAGATCCTTCTTATGTTCCCTTCATACCCATTTCTTAGAAAGAATTTGTATTTAACAGAGGATTTCATTCTAGATATTTGTGTGCTGGGTATTTTGGTGCTCCTATGCTCACTCTAAGGAAAATTACAGCTCTAACACAAAAGATGCTTGCTACATGTACTTTATAAATCACAGCTGGCAGTATTTTGGACACACACCGTCGTAGTTCACTGTAATGTGAGGTTTATGTCACATGGTTATTTGACAGGAGAGCTGTGTGGCAGGAAAGTACATAAAAGGTCCATTTTTTCCCCCAGTTCCATTGTTTTTCACTCTCCAGTCGAACCTTTTAGCGAGAGTTTTGTCTCCGCAGTCTGTGCAGCTTTGCCGTAAATATCTCACCGCAGGAATTAACCTTGCCATTATGGCTAACTCCCCAGCTCGCTCTGCTGGGGAGTTAATGGTTGGTTCAACAGATGGTAGTTGACAGATTCATTGCAGTTAAACCGAAAAGAACATTGTGAAGAGTTCTGAACCCAAAATCCAATCCCCTGAACTCAGCATTGGCTGAATACAATGATCGTTACTCTTCCATGTCATTTAGTTAATTTGGGCATAAAACACTTCCTGGTTTTATTCTCGTTACTTTGTTACCATCTTTCTTTGCTTGTTTATTAATTGCAGTAAGCAGGATAGCTAATTGGCAGGTATCGTCAATAATACACTTTCAGACAGTGCCAGATATTGTGATTAATTACCTGCAATTAATCAATTAATATCACAGATTATTAAAGGGCAATCATTGTCATATTCAAATGGTTAATGTTAATATTTTTTTTTCAGAAGAATGTGCAGGAAGTGATTTCAAAAGAGAAATTCCAAATGACTATTGAAAAGATAAACCCAGGGAACGGAACTAAACAATGCATGCTTAGACAAAAACTCTTTGTGATGTTTGCGGAGGAATGGCAACGGCACGTCTGTCAGGCGGGGAGAATCGGGCCTCTTCCTCCGAGGCTTCAGAACGCCTCTCTGCATCGCAGTACCCGGACCTAACTTCGCTGTCGCACAACTGCGATGAGGCTGCATGAGTCAGAGCCGTCGTTATTGGGAAAGGCATCCCAAGCTGACTTCATATTTGCTGAGAAACACTCATTCCCACCATTAGAAAAGCTGGGTGATGAATTTAAATGACGTTCAGTTAAGACCTGGGACTTGACTTAATCCATTTGCAAAGCTTCCGCTGTTATCTCTGTGACCCAGAGCACTTTTCCTCAGTCTCTTTGCTTTTGGACTCCTCATTTTGGTCCTGTACTAGGCTCGAGGATGCTACAAATCTCAGCATATGTGTGGGTATCTCACCTCCTGGCCACTAGCCCAGTTCTCCACCAGGACACTGAAATATGATTAGATGCACTGACTAAATCTGCCTCCCTGTCCGTGCGTCCATCTGACATTCAGAGTCTTTGTCTGTCTGATGTTCTTCTCTATGCGTCCATTCTAAATTCTGTGTCTAGAAATAGCTTGCGGAATAGATTTGCAGTGTACATTTAAATCTAGCAGTTGTCCCCTGTCGCCTATTAGACTCCCACCTTAATTTAGAATACATCAAGCCAAGAAATGCTCAACTGCTCAATTCAGCATGTTTATTCTTGTTGCGAGCGGAGGGTCAGGTTTTCAAGTGCACATCACTGGAAAGGTCACCGTGGTAAAGTGTTCAGTTTCCGAGAGCAATTGTGCAGGAAATATCGCTCCACCAAAGAGATACAAGTAATGCTATGAAGAGTGGGACTACATACAGAAAGTTTCCTGCTGAAGTAAATAAAAGACCAAAACCGTCAAAGTATTGTCAGTGTTCTTTTGAGGCCTATCAGAGTCTGGCATTTAATTTTTTTGGTCTTTAGTAATAAACAGTGAATGATTACAGAAAATGAGTAGAATTGATGTGTCATCCTATGTTGTGTCATCATACTATGTGTCATAGTAGTGTTTACTTACTTTCAGAGTTGGGTAATTCAGGTCCAGAGAGTAAAAAATCCAGACCATGATTTTGTTTAAACCAACCAGTTGAGCATAAAGAGTCACAGTCACAGAGTACTCAGCTGGTTGGTTGAAACAAAATCCCGGTCTGGACTTTTACTCTCTGCACATGAATTACCCAACTCCTCTTACTTTAGGGTACAAATTGATGAGAATGTTATCTGTGTCGCAGTTTTAGCATAGATGCTGTATTTTCCGTCCCATATTGATTTACATTTGCATATTTAGCAGACACTTTTGTCCAAAGCAACATATAAGTCAGACAAATAGCACATCGCAAACATTCATTCTGTCGAGGAGTCAACTAGGCTTCCATTGAAGGCTCAGGTATGAGTGTAAGCAGAATTGAGCAGGAGCTACATAATAACTAGCAACAAAGTAAGAACCTAATAAGACTATTCAGGTGCAGCATAAGAACATTCAGGGAAGGTCAAAAGGCGTCAGGCTAGTAGAGGATGTGCCTTTTCTGTTTTATCCATATTAGATACTTGGAATTCCAAATTGTATTCCCAATATATCCCGTTATTTCATCCAGATTTCATTTTAAGCAATGGGGGAGACTTCTCTGATAACATTAGACAATGCAAAATTGTTTTCCCCCTTAAAAAAACAAAAGCATCGATCCTCTGGGCCTGTGTGTTGTTGTATTCACTTCCTCTAATCATACGTACTAGCGTGTGCATACACACACACACACACACACACACGCGCGCAAAAC